CCATGGATTTTAAATTTCAAACCATAGTGCTTTAATTTGGAAAAACAAATTCACATGCACTATTTCTCAGCACAGTTTCGATGACATTCTATGAACAGGGAATAGGTTTATTCACTCATATTCAAAAGAGGATTTATGATAGAAACAAGAAGATCCTAGCAGAAGGAATATCTTCCCCAAATGGGGAGTATTGACTTAGAATTTCTCTGACCCCTTTGGCAAGGTAGGCATTAAAGGCCTCTACCCATTGGTGTGGTTGTTCCCAACACAGTAGTTGTGGCTAATGTTGAGCTGATGCAGACAGGTTTTCATGGGTCCCTTTTTCTAGAGAAAAAAACAAGAATAGCACAAGAATAGCAACTCTATTCTAATTTCAGGTATACTATAGTGCTGATTTAGGAAGCTAATGAGGTCCCATTCTTCTTTTATTTTTTCATTTGAAAAATGCAATTAGAAAGCCATACCTCTGTGGTGGGCTCGGCCAATGCTGGGATAGGAGGAGCTTTGCTGGATTCCCAATGGCTGAGATTTCTACAAATAGCTAAGAACCGCCTCTGCCAGTGGGCCCTGGTTGGCTAGAAGTAACTCAGTGGATGCTATGACTTGATACCAATTCACCAAAGCCAAATAACAGTATGACGGGGGAAAGATGACCTCTCTGGAAAGTTCTCTGTACCTTCTGCTGGGATCAGTATCTGAAGAAATGTACTGCCTTTTCTCAAGCATAATGTGACCACCCCCTAATATATCAGCCATAGCATTCTGATCTTCATTTTTTTTTGAGAGAGAGTCTCATTATGTCGCCCTCGGGAGACTGCCATGGTGTCACAGCTCACAGCAACCTCAAACTCTTGGGCTTAAGTGATTCTCTTGCCTCAGCCCCCTGAGTAGCTGGGACTACAGGCTCCCACCACAATGCCCAGCTATTTTTTGTTTGTTTGTTTGTTTTTTGTTGCAGTTGTCATTGTTGTTTAGCAGGCCAGGCGGGGCTCGAACCTGCCAGTCTCAGTTTATGTGGCTGGCACCGCTACAGGTGCCAAGCTCTGACCTTCATTTTTAACCTTTCCTATACCCATTCATGCAAATGTGTTCAACTGGGACAACTGTAATGTGTCTGACAGTGCTTTCACTTTGATCATTTAACTTAATTTGCTCCTCTCACCTACCCTGAGAGACAGATAAGGACATAGATTCTAACTACATTAACTGGCTGACAACAAGAGAGTTAGTCCCAGCGTTTGAACTGGCTTGTTACCACCTGCTCACACATTCACAATGGAGGCAATTTTCTTTTTTTTGCAGTTATTGGCGAGGCTGGGTTTGAACCCACCCCCTCCGGGACCGGCACCCTACTCCTTTGAGCCACGGTGCCGCCCAAGGCAAGTTTCTTAAGTACACATTCAAGATAAACAAGGGTCACCTGGTGTGGATGTAGCTATTGAGCGTTAGCTGAGCCTCGTCTTGAAGGGCTGCAATGGCAGCAGCATTTCGGAAGCTTCTCAGTTCAGAACCACTGTGTGTAGGAACTAGAAATGAAGACAGGAAACTGTGATAGGCAGCACAGGAAATGTGGGAATACCCAACAGAATAGCAGGTCCCCACAGCTATGGAAAATAGGACCAGACTAAGGGAATCAGCACCCTCGAAAACCATCAGCTCTTTTTGCAAAGGTCAGTCTGGACTTTGAGGCGGTTGCATTAGTGAGGTGGCAAAACTGGGGAAGGGAAAGAGACAAGGAAGTATCTGCTTACCAGCTTTAAAAGTGACGATGCATTTTAGACAGGCAAATTCAGTAGCATCTAACCGGAGTTGTCTAAACCGAGCCACCACCTCTTGTAAAGCCTGTATTTCAGATATGATCTTGTTCAGCTTCTGGGAATCTGTGTTGTCACCATTCATGCCTGGAATAAAAATATGGGATAAACACTCTAATAGAAAAGCATTTTCATGATTTAATATTGATTTTTGACAAAATCCTGCATATCAATATCTATTCCATTGTCACTCTAAGATATCTGATTCCATGTAAACTGGCTATATTGTATGAAAGTTAATATAAAATCTTCTCTTGGATGATAACAAACACAGTAATTTGCATTTAAATAACAATGCAAGCAGTCATGAATACAACAAAACAACATTATTTGCATTTAAATATAGATTTATAAATGACAGGTATACTCTATTGTTCATCAGGAATTTGTTATTCTTTACATGTTGTTCTTTTTTCAGTAATGTATTTTTATGGTAATTTCTACAACAAAGTCATTAAATTGTGCAATTCTTACCAGATACAGCCAGTAGAGTGTTAGCATCAACCGGAATGGCCCATTGTGCTATTCCTAGAACAAACAGTTCTCTCCAAGCATCTTCCAAAAGCATCAGCTGTCATACAATAGATGTATAATATAATATAGTGTGTAATTTATAAATTTATAAACAATTTCAATATGTAAATTTCCATTATTTTAAAAAGTGTTTTAAGTGCCTGTCTTGGTAATTTTTTTTCCTGAATATTCTAGCTTTCCTTTATTTTTCCCATATTTTCCTTTTTGAAAAGGTGCCTATAGACAGGCACATGCATTTGAGGGGCAGCCATTCCAATTCCACAAAGTTTGCTTCTCTCAGAAAAGAATTTACCCCTCTTGCCCTAATATCTGCCTGTTCATGACACCTAGAAACTTCTCTGGAGACCTGGGCTTTATGAAATTGAAATGTCATCAGCAGCTCAGCAGGTGGATTCCCTTCATAGAGTGCTGATATGATCAAGTTGAGGATTCTGGACTAAGCTTGCAGGTCTGGCCCCAGCTTCCTGGAGGGTTGAGGAGACTGGGCTGAGGGTGGTGGGGGTGGGGAGAGAGGGAGACACACACACACACACACACACACACACACACACAAAATACTAATTCCCAAGAGGCCTTCAGGGGAAATCAGGGTGCAATTATGTTAATCGGGGTTTGCTGAGTTTACCTCATCTCACTGTCTATTTTTCTGAGACTCATAAGTGGACAGCATCAAGGTGCTTGTCATTTTTAGTCTAACAAAATGTGCTACTGAATATTTAAAATGAAAATCTGTCTCCTTTTCCAGATTAATATACCAGATTCCACTTCACTGCAGTTTGCTTGTTGTCGAAGGATTTCTACCCAAGGGCTAAGTGGCAGAAGGTAAGTCAATTTTGTTTGGATTTAAGAGTATACAAATACTTGTTTTGAGAAAAAAATAGCCAATTTACACACACACAATACACATACACAGTGCAAATGATCAGAGCCAACCAGTAACCTGGACAAAGAGAGGACCTCATTAATTAAAAAAAAAAAATTTTTTTTAACCTCTCAAAACCCAGCCCATTCTGAATTATTTATGTGAAAGAATTTCTTTTGGGAAGCTAAGAGCTGACTCATGAAGGCTTATAACCAAAATCACAATTAGACCAAAAGGTTTAATTTTTCAAAATGCTTTATTTTTAGTTTTATCGCACTAAGTACAGGAAATAATTTTAAAATGCAAGGTAAACGATATCTAATTCTGGCCATATTTGAAAGTTCAGGCCATGAAAAAAATGACATCTCATGCTAGAAGATTAAATGTTTTTAACACACTGCTGGGTCTTTCCATAAGAAAGATATATTACATTAAGGGGGGCTCTATTATAATTTAATTAGGTATGAAATGAATTGAAGAAATAAATCTTTGGCTTTCAGAACTACTTTTTAACCTTTTGGGAAATTTGTCGTTAATTTTCACAAATGCACTGGTAAATGGCCAGTGGCTGTGAACATTCTATTTTCTTTCTTTCCCTTAGGGTTAGAAAAAAACAATGGCAGAAGCCATTTCCGATATTCCCAACAACATAACTTCTGGGTTTTGATACAATGCAGTTTTTAGCTGCACACACTTTCCCTCCTCTGAATGTCATTTACAGCCAGAGAATTATGCAAACTACCTATTTGTTTACAAAACCTCTAAAAGCACAGAAGGAATGAAGGGAGAGCTCGGCCTGCACCTTTGATACTACATTCTGAGAAATGAATGGCCAAAACTGAATATCGCGGTGGAGAATATAAAGCTGAGAATATAAAATGAAGAAACAAGTTCCAAAAATCTCACGAGAGATTCTTAACACCTTCTATTCCTCCAATTTCCAATATTCTTAGAAACATTGTTTTATTAAGTGTTAAAAAACATTAGAATTTTAAAATTTAAGATTAAATTTGACGTTTCAGTTAAAACAAAAATAAAAAGATGATGTTCTCATATGTATGTTTTTCACAGATCAGATCCAGCTTCCCTGAAATAACGTAATTGCATCTCTTACTAAGGATTACATAGTAGATATTTTGAACCCATAAAATGAAACCAATAAAAAGTTTCCTCACTGCTGTTAAGTACAGATGCTTGCTTTGCCGTGGTGATTTATCCAGAGGCCATGGCCTTCTGCAAGACCGAACACTGTTATTTCTTTCCCAAACCCTTTTCTCCAAGACCTCAGTGTCCTGGTGGTCATACCTGGTCTTGCAAAGACAGTGTGGAGAAAGCTGGCACACTTTTAGCCCACTTGATGCTCATAAAGAGAAGCCTGGCAGCTGATTCACACACTGACTCTGTGGCCACTTCATAGAGATACATTGGGGTTCCATTCACTTCATGGGGGTACTGAAAGGGGAAGAAAGAGAGGCACTTGGAATTGAGCAAATCATGGCTTTGAAAGAGGAGCCAAACTTTTAATTTCTAATTAAGACAAGGAAAGGGATAAAAAGGAATTTGGATGTTTTGCTTAAATGCACAGTTGCCATCGGTGAGTAAAAAACAAAACCTCTATAGAGTCTGGGATGTAATACTTGTTGGGGGAAGTCAGTTTCCACTCTTTGGGAGCCTTGCCCTTCCTGAGGGGCCTCTGGCTTTTCTATCCCCTGCAGCAAATTTTTCTTGGGTTGAGCCAAGTGCTAGGCCTGGCTCCCCATTTAGACAAGAGCTGCTTGCATTTGTGTAAATAAAAATAGATGTGTAAAAAGTATAAATTAATAGGCATCCCAACACAAATATGCATATGAGTATTTTTAGAAAGGATTAGTATATTATGGAAATATTTCAATTAGACATCTTAATCATTCACAGAGCATTCCCATTCATAACTGACAACATATTCATAACACTACTTTCCCAAGCTTATTATACACATCAAGGGTAAGAAAGCAATATTAAATATTGTGCGTTTGCATGTGCCCAGGTGTTTGGCTTCCCTGCAGAGTGGGGCTGCAGCTGGCCCTCCACTGGGGAAGATCCTAGGCCCTGGAGCAGAGCTTTGGGTAGGTATCAGCTGGAGGCCTGAAGGGTGGTCCCTAGGTGGCAGCCTTTTCAGGTGGTGCAGGCTGTGGCCCTGCTAGTAGGGGTTCAACCCTGATGTAAATCACCTGGCTTAGAGGTTATTGAGGGGAAGATGGAAAATGAACTCAAAGTTTTCAAACTATCTTAACAGTATGAGCTCCACATTTCTCTCTTGTATCCATCGCTTTGCCCAAGGTAATAGATGCTGAGATTTGCAATTCTGGGGCTCTTCCTCCAGTTGCAGACAGCTTCTTTCCCTTAAAAACAAACGTTCTTCTGGCCTCCTAGGACTCCTAAAGCGGCCCTGTGGGCTTAAGCCAGGGCTCCACCCACCACCAGTCACCAGTGGGTGCTGCCTACAGGCTTGTGGGCTCCACCCCACAACAGCTGAAAGGGAATTTCTGGGGGATGGGAGCAGAAGTCCACATCTGTGGCCACTCAGAGGTTGACCCTAACTACACTTTGAGCATCCATCGCTCAACAGGGGCGAGCATGAGCTGGAGCACCTGGGAGGCCCCTCCATCTTTTGTCCCACCCTAGTCACAGCTCCAAAAGACTGGATGCATCCCTGTATCCCTTTGGCTCCAAACGAGTCTATGTGGCCACTGACCTTGGGTGTGGGCTGAGCCAGGCTCACAAGGGTCTGCCGTTCGGGGGTGGCAGACACTGCGGCCAGCTCCAGGCTGTGTGGCTCCAGTTGTGTGACCGCGGTGAAGAAGGCCGGCGCGGGTAGCGCCGCCGACGGGAAGTGCGCGTCCGCCCGGTTCTCCTCCTTGTGCCCTCGGAAGTAGAGGGCCACCTGCTTGCGGATGGTAGAAGTTCGAGGACCCCGCTCGTGCTGCACCGCTGCAGAGACAGACAGATGGACGCACGCCCGTGATCAGAGAGGCCGCAACACCAAGCCGCTCACTGATCCTGAGCCTGATGTCACGTTTGGGCAGCCAAGATCGTACAACAGGTAAAGAAAAGGCGGGAGCGAGGATGTGAGAGCGGAAGGCTCACCGAGATCCTCGAACCAACCTCTCCGCTGTACAGATTGGAGAGCTGGGGCCGAGAAGAGGAGGAGCCTGTGTCGGTCCAAAGTGCCACGATAATGGCAGAACCTTGAGCAAAACTCCAGTTTCCTCCCCAGACCCTCTGAGCGGGAGAAGCTAGGTATACTCGCCCCCCTCTAAGTGGAACAGGGAGCGCCACGCACTCTTGGCAGGCTGTCTCTGCCCAGACTTTCCCAGTTCTGTCCAAGATCGACTGCTCCCAACCCCCAGCCCTCGCCCCCACAGAAATGGCATTTGGCCCCAGAGACCCAGGAGAAAAGAACCCGAGCCCTGGGGACGTTGGGGGATGGGACAAGAGAAAGCCTGTCTCCCAAGTGTAATGGAGGAAAGCAGAGGAGATGTGACTATTACCACCAACAGTTTAAATGAACAAATTAATTCAGAGCAACCTTCCGCCCGCTGAGCTTGACAACTTGTCAATACACAAATTCAACAGGTTGGACACTCCGTCCTGCTTCTTGCGCTGTGGAGGAAGAAGCTCTCCCTGATAGACGTCATGTCTCCTGGATCTGCCACCCGGCCTGGGCCCCTGCACCGCAAAACCCACCGCGCGTGCTGTCCCGGCCCCGCTGTGCCCTCTAGCCGGTGACTCCCGCTCCCTCCTGGGCTGGGGCGCCCCCGCCAGGCGGCGACTGGGGACGCAGCGTGTGCTCCACGGCCAGACCTAGCTCCCGACCTAGTTGCAGCTGCACCAGGGGTGGGTGTCAGAGGCACCCAAAGGCGCTACCGGCCTCTCCAGCCCTTTTTTCTGTTTTATATACAACCCACCCCGGAGAAGCCAAGGTGGGCTCAGTGGGCGTACTGATCTTCACATCTTGGTGACTTTGCAAACAATGGCTCGATATTCAGCGTTTTCATGTCTATGCCCTCCCTCCTCCAACACGCCATCGTCTTCCAGTCCCCAAGATCTCCTCCCAGGGAGACTATGCGGGCTTCTAGATCCTAGGGGAGGCTAACAGGCTTAGACTTGGCTAGGAAGGGTGGGAAAGAGGTGAGAAGAGGGATTAGGATTGTGGGGTTGATTATAGGGGCGCAAGCTTCTGAGGTGGCCATGGGCTTTGCCCTAGGGAGTTCATGGAGTCCCGGCGGGATTGTGCTGAGAGGCCGGAAGGATACAACTGAAAGCCCGAAGCCAAATCTCAGTATATGGGAAGAGGCGCTGGAAAGATGATTTACATGCATAGGAGTGCCATGTATTTTCTGTACATGTAATTTACTTACTACTCAATCAACATTAGAGGAATAAAGGGATGTACTGATTACCATCTTTGTTCATGTTGACTTCCAAACACTTCTTCAGTCGACAGGCTCTGCACTGGTTTCTGTGTGTCTTGTCCACCGGGCAGCCTCCCTGGAACAGAGCGCAGGAGGTCAGCGGCCCCCTGCGGCCTTTAGGCTGCAGACTCTAAGCCCGCGGCCCTCGGGGTCAGCGGCGTCTGGGAGGGGCCGCAAACCCCGGAGCCGCGAGCCTGGGTCAGCGAAACGCCAGGGCCTTGGGCACCAGCAGGGCCAAGTAGAGAAGGAGCTGAGACTTCCCAGGGCACTTCCAGAGGACCAGACCCCCACCCCGTGGAAACAGACAAGAAAAAGTCCTCCGAGCGGGTGAAGGAGCAAAGCGCCAGGTTTGCTAGATCCCCAAGTGCGGGGAGAAGCTCACTAGAGGAACTTCCGCCAGTCGCGGAGTGGTGGAGCAGGGATCAGACTTTTCAGGACCGAAGACAGCGACCCAGCCCCAGAGTCGGAGGCCTCTGAGCTCTGTTGGCCGCAGGCTTTCGGGTCAGCGTCCACGCCACGCCCCTTCCCGCCCGATTGCTCTTTCCTCTTTGAGTACTTGAGTCTACTCTGTATGTCACTGTCTGGGTGTGCCCATTTACCCGGCAGATAAACATCTCCCATTTATTCTTCACTCTCCCGTTGCCTCACGTTTGCTTTAGTATTTGAAGCCATCCCTATAACCAGCTAGTCTTAAAGACTAGCGTCAGCCCAGCTTCATGGAAATACAGCCATTCCTGGGAGATGAGGCCCTAGTCAGAGTGGTTAGGCAGGCAAGGCCTCCAAAAGGTGAGGGTGGGTAGGGAAGAGCCCAAGGCCTGGGCAAAAGCTAAAAATACCCACTATGTAAATATGACCAGGAAGATACTATGACAGACTGTCTGACGAAATAACATGAACTGAGATTATTGACACAATAAAAATGTTGTCACTTCTTTAGAAGTATATATCTGAGTTCCATAAGCAAATAAGCATTTTACCTAATGCAAGTTTCTGAAAAAATATTGGCCATTCTATTAAAAGAAGAAATCTACAGATAAAGTTTCTTTCACAGTTTATTCAGCACTAGGTGTCATTACTGAGGGAACATACACATAGATACATAGTCACATATGCTATGAGTTTGATGCACAGAAAATATCTAAGAAGTTTGGTGCTCTGCCATATTTATATAAGTTGTTACTGTTACATTTGCAGTGGCAAGAGAATATATAAATGTATTTTGCTTCATAGTCTCAAAAATTTATATACTCTGTACTATTTCCTCCCCCCCCCATATCCTTTAGGGGAAAATTACACACTAGTATAAAGTTTTATGAAATCACATCCCTCCAATTTAAAATATGTTGATGTATTTAAAATTACAGTGGGACAGAGGTTCATAACCATTTCTAAATATCCTCATTACTGTTAATGATAAGTTGAAATATCATCTGGTTAACTTTAGAATCAAAGAGAGAAAGGAAATAATTTTTTGTTCCTAAGTGATTCTTCAAGGCATCTTTGCTGGCCAATGTAATAATTCGATGTAAAAAGGTTTTAAAAACGTATTAAATATAATCATATGCCTGTCTTCAAATGGGATCTTTCCAGTATTCTGATAAACATGCAAAATGGAAGCCTTCATTAGTTCTTAAGTGTGTCTTCAAATCAGACCAAATGTATATAAATATCTGGTGCCTGAGAAAAGGATGAGCGCCTCAGCTCTGAGCATTTATTCTCTTTGCAAGGAGAGGAACACCAGCCTGATGAGTCTATTATCGCTCCTTTACAAGCACTTGGACTGATATCAATGTGTTTGAATTGATAGCCATCCTATTTTAAAATACAAGCATAACATCTGAGATTTTGATTCCCCAATTCTGTACATCACATAAAAGTAAACGACAATCTAAGTAGAAGCCTGCTCAAATCTGACAACTCACAGTTAATCCCATAATCCTGTAGAACTATCGGGAGACAGTCCTATGTATGTATAATGCGTCTAAATAGTGAAACTAGAAACTCATACAGGTCTGGGTACTCAATTAAACAAGTAACAATGCTGGAGAGTTCAGAATAACTTGTTCAAATCCAAATGTCTTCTTGTTTTTGCTGTTATTTCAAATCTATCAAAAATTGATTTGAGCAGACATGACCTCAGAAAAAGATGTCAGAATAATTCATTAGCACCAGACAAGTACACAATGTATGCATATGTGTATGTATCATATATTTATTTAATGAAAGTGTTTTGCTATTTGGTTAGCAAAGGATAACGCTTGACTAATGCACTCCCTGGGGTTTTCCTGGGAGTGATGGTGGAGGCCTCTGTGCTGAGGGTTTGCACACCTGGCTAAGGAGTGGGAAAAGCATGGAGCTAAAAAGTTAATCTCCTAGGTGAACAAAAGCCTACTACTGAGCTACAAACTGAGCTGGAGGGATTCTGCTCACTCTGGAAGGTCTGGCTCACATAGCCCAGGCCCTGACCCCTCTGTCTCTTTGACACAGGTCTGTCTGCTGAAGACCAAAGCATAACAAACTGGGCACATCTTCTAAGCATAGAAGGAGGAAAATATATAGGAAGCTTGGAGAGGATCCCAGTTGTACCTTACTCTCCAGCCTCCTCTTCTTCACCCAGCCCTTTTCTGACAAAAGCCCAGAATACTTGGTGCACCATGTATACTTCCTGAACAGCCCTGCTTCTCTGGAGTTGAAAGGAACAGCCCCTCACAGAGTATGGTCTCTTTCTTCCAGAGAGGCCAGCACTCACTTTGAATTTCAGCTAAAGATGGTAGTGACCTTGACTCAGATCCCTATGTGCCTTCTACTTCTGCATTCTATCTAGGTAGACTGTAGTTAGGGGACTGAGCTTGGGTGATGCTAGGAATGGGGGTAGGTATAGACATCCAAAATAACACAGCACTTTCTCCTGCTTGCTACTTGCAATTTAGATTCTAAAGTTCCTTAAGTCCCCTGGGCCAGCTTTATAGCCACTGGGTGTGGGCCTTACCCCATGTCAAATCTGTCAGAGGATTAAAAAAAAAAAAAAAAAGGAGTAGGGTGGCTCTGGCAGTTCAGACTTCCCCTGCAAACTCGTCTGTCTTCCCTCACCACACCCAGTCTTCTCCCAGCCAGAGTTGAGACAGGATGGAGGGGAGAGGTCAGGGCCTAGTCTCTCCTTAACAGCAGGGCAGTAGGGAAACTCAGAGGAGACCTTGCCACAAATGAAGCAGGAAGAGGCAGCGGAGGGGAGCTGGGCACTGTAGCCCAGGCTGAGGTACCTGGTTTCCAGATTTGCAGACATACGTCCTATTCCTTCGGATACTCCGTTTGAAAAATCCTGAGCAGCCGTCGCAGGCGTAGACTCCGTAGTGTTTCCCCGAGCTGCGGTCGCCACACACTTTGCAGGGGATATCTAAAATGCGGCCTGAAATCGCAAGAAATACAGGGCAGGGGGGAAGGGAGGAGAGGGAAGGGAAGGCGGAGAAGAGCGAGGAAAGGGGAGAGGGAGAGGGAGATGCTAAGCAATCTGACCTCTGAAGGGATTAGCACCGAAGCTGCGGTAAAAGCAAATAATGAAGTGATTTTATAGCCAAACTTTTTTTCCTTGAGCAAGTGTCAGTTTCCTACAATGAGCATTATTCATGCACCGCTACGTGTATTTGGGTCTCCTCTAATCGCTGAGACCCATTTTGGAATAAAAGATTACAGCAGGCCGGGGCGGTAGCGCGGCCGGGCGCTGCCTTTCTGCTCCGCGGAAAGTTTGGCCGCCTCCCTCCTCCGCTCTCGCATTTAACAGAGAAAGTTGTTAGTGAGCTCGCGAGGAGACAAACTTGAAATGTAAAAGAGAAAAGAAGAAAAACAAACACGGCTGGAACTAGGGATGGCAGCTGGAAGGCAATCGAGTTTTCTCTGAGCTCTGCGCTGGGCGGTTGTTATTATTAGGATTATTATTGTAATGCTAATACTCGGATTATTAATGATAATAAGGGTAGTGGTAATTGCCCAACTTTCCCTTTACCTATTAAAAAAAATGCTTGGTGAATCGCTTTTGAGAAATTCTTTCTTTTAGGAAAAAATCATTTTCTCCCCAAAGTAGCACTGGGCCAGGCAAGTGAGGAGAGCAACATAGGTCATCCATTCTGAGCGGGTCAGTGTGGGAGTGAGAGGCCACTTCTGAGAGCCCGGCCTCTTCACACTTGGTCCTCTGCGGGTCTTTTCCCCCTGCTTTCCCTGCCGCTGTGGGAGGCTGTTTTTTTTTTTTTTAAGGGATCTGCCTTATTTCTGTAAGCTGTTTCCCCCTACTCTCTGGACCCCAACTCAAGAGAACTTTCCCAGGAATCCCCTCTAACTCTCAGTGGCCACGCACCATGGAGCAGTGTTAGGGAGAGGATAATATGCAAACATTCAAAAAGGGAGGAATTATTTTTCTCTAAGGTTCAAGGGTCCAACAAGTGCCTGAATCGGTTTACAGGGACTTAGAAAAGCTTCCTTCCCCCCCCCCCCAAGCAAAGGGGGTATTAAAGTGTTAACTTTATTAACCTTTAATTTTTTAAATAATGGTAGTTAATAACAATTAACTTATTAACATTGGATTTTCCCGTAGCTTTCCAACCGAAGGCCTCTAGCCTGGGCCTGGTGGCCTCAGGCCTCTTTGAAACTCGACAGCTGCTCCCAGGAGCATTTGGGATGCAGAGTGAGATTAGGTTAGGGTGTGGAGAGGCAGGGGTGACAACGACTGTTGTGGAGGGGTGTGGGGGAGATGAGGGGAGGCGCGGGAAAGGCCCGGGAGGCTTCAGAGGTGGAACCCTGTTCCAGGACTCCGAGGCCTAAGGGCTGGCTAGCACCCCGGGCCGGTCTTGGCTTCAGGTGGAGGGGGGGCTAGGCGGGGGGCCATGCTGGGTGGGAGTGTTCGGTAACGACCAGGCTCGGCTCGGGTAATTACAACCCCGCCGCAGCACCTGCCTATAGAGCTACCAGTGACCCGTCAAAAAGAGTAGCATGGGAATTCGGACGACGACAAAGGCGGGCAGGGGAGGCGCGCGGCGAGGCGGCCACCAGCTAGGCGCCCCCTCTCCCGCAGGGAGGGAGGGGACACTATGTTTTGGGAGAGAGGGGCTGCAAAGAGCCAGGAGAGGCCACGTTGGGTCTTGTCCTCCCCCCACCCCACCCCACCCTCCCGCCCCTGCCTGTCACTGAGCCCAGCGGAACTTATGGTCGCCCAGGAGCCAGGGTCTCCAGCTCTCCTAACGACATTCACTTCGGAAGCAGTAAACTTGGTTTTCGTATTTCGCAACCATCCTCCTCTGCATAACACAGCTCTCTGGCCGCATTGGGTCCATGATTGCAGCTCAAGCAATACTGCAGCCCCAGCTATCCTCTTCCTTGTGGCAGTATAGCTGATGCCATTATAAGCTTGTGGGAGGAGCAGTGGTGGGATCTCTCGCCTCCACTTTCCATCGAAACACGAGACCCATGACACGCATCTCTGGAGAACCCCAGGAGGACCGAGGGAAGACCCAGAACAGGGGGGATGACTTTCCTGGGATTCCCTGGGCCGGGCCTCCGGGGCTGTCGCGCCCTTAGGCCGCCACCGACCGCGGGTGGGCTCAGCCTCTGGCAGACGTCGGAGTCGGGGCTCCTGGAGCAGATTCAAGACCAGCAACCAGGCTGGGGCGGGGCACAGGAGGGAGGGACGCGAAAATTCCAGGGCATAGTGGGTTTGTGCCTCAGACTCCGCCACCCAGCCACGTTGAGGTGACTTGGGGTCACGAGACAAGCTGGTTGACCCCGTTGCAAAGCTCCTCTCATTTAGCAAGCCGAGCGAGCTCCGACGTGAGTCGAGCTGGAGTTTCCTGAAGCTGGAAAACCGTTCTTAACTTCTCTCGCCAGGGGGTCCCCTCGGGGCTTTTTGTGTGTCATAATTGCCTAAAGATATATGGCAGCTTCGATTACTGTAATTACCATCAGAGGCTGTTGAAAGAAGTTAGTCTGGGCTGCAGGGGTGACTGCCCAGGGTCTTGTTACCACCCAGGCGGGACTCCGGGTAACATCGTTCTGCTCTCCAGCCAGCCAAAGCCAGGCAAGGCCAGGGCTGCAGACCTTCCTCCTGGCCCAGTCCTGACCCGCCCGCTGCGCACCGACTTCCTTGCTGCCCAGGGCCGGAGGGCCGCGGGTTTCAGGTCTGCTGCGCCCACGGGTCTCAAGGGGGCCTGGATGAAGCAGCAGCTCGGGCGGGGCCGCTGTCCCGCCGGCTGACAGAGACTGGGGCTCGAGACTTCCAAGGCTGAGCCCAGGATTTGGGGAAGTTGAAAAGCTCCAAAGTTTCCTCAGTGTGCCCACTACTCTTTCTCTCCCCCAATTGCGGGGTCGTCTGCGTCCTAGTCCACAGAGCGCGGTGCAGCCCCAGGCGTGCAGGGCTTCCCGCCCATCCCTTTTCCCGAGGCTCACCTTTCCAGCCCTGGGGGGCTCTGCCCCCCACCCAGTGGTCGAAGGAGCCAGAGGCTCCTTACTTCTAGAGGTAGAGGCGAAGGCCTGTCCCCGGGTAAGTGAGCCAGGAGGCCTGAGTAGGCCCACATAATTCTGTTTTTGCAGTGGAGGCTGGGGAATGCAACAGGAAAGGACTCTTTCTGTGCCCCCCAAGAAGGACATTCATACCCGGCAACAGAAAGCCAGTTCGCCTCGCTTCCCAGAGAGTCAGACTGCCAGGCAGGACCAGGGTAGGCCCAGGCTAAAGGGAACCGCCAGTCCCAGGAAAGGAAGGGTCTGCTCTACATTCTGGCCATGGTTAAGGCTCCTTCTTTGCTCCCTTTGCCCCAACTCTAAACATTTCTCTTTTTCTGTCTTTGCTCTCGTTAATTTTGCTTTAATTTTTTACACGGCAAAACCAAAACAAAACAAACGGACAAAGTGAAAACACAACCTACTTCTTAGCGGTGGGGGAAGGCGGGCAAGGGGCGGGAATTGCATCCCACTTAAGTGAGACTTCATTATCAGTCCTCAGAAGTATCTCTGATTCTCCTAACTTTCTAAGACTCAGGACAATGAGGACCGGTGAGAGGCAGGAGGAGCGAAGGAACGCACATAGCGCCAAAAATACGATAGCGAAAACAACGCGGGTGGCGGGAGAACTGTGGGACGTGGGGATTGCAGAAGTGGCCGCCCTCCGCCCTGGACCCCGGAATCGCAGCCTTTGGCCACGGGAAGGCGGGAGCTGAAATGCCCCGGGGGAAAATCCTAGACCGGCTGCCGCGTCTGCTCCACGCCAGCTCAGGCCTGCACATTCTCGGGTTCCTCAGGCATCGTGCACGCAAATGCCATCGCACACACTCGCAGCCCGGCTCCTCTGCGTCGGGGTGGGGGGTGGTTAGAGGTCAGCCGCGGCTTGGTGTTGGGTAGGAAAGGCAGCAGCTCAGGAAGTTCGAGGAAGGAGAGAGGCGCACTGAGGGAGCAGGCCGCTCACTCCTGCCTCTGCTGAGCTCCGGCTCGAAAAGTCCTTGGGATTAGGGATTTGGTCCTCTCTTTGCTAGAGTAGTTCGCCATACTTTAAATTCCCCAGTTATGACCTACGCGGATTTAGGATTAAGGAAAATGTGACTTTTAAATTGTTTCTGCTTCCCAGTTTGCAGGATTATTTGAAATAGCTAGAAACGGGGTGCAAAGCATTCCATTCAAAATCCGCTTTGCAGAGTTGCTTTGCGCGCTGAAGCTCGGAGTTTTGAGCTAGTGTGTTTATTGTGCTGCCGCCTGGAGCTGAGGCCCAGTTCCCGCCCCCATGGCCCCACCCGAACAGCACCTGGAGGCTAAATGGAGGCAACTCGCCGGACTGGTGGGCTGCGTGGGTCTCAACCTTCCCACCATATCAGAGAGAGAGCGGGATCAAGCAACAGGGGCAATGAAATTGCTCTCCCCTCACCACGAAACGCTTCAACTCACGGTCTTCAAGTAGCTGGACCAAAGCTCACATGCCCGCTGAAGTCCCTCTCCCGGGCTCGGAGCCCCGGAGCCCCGGAGCCCCGGGCAGGACCTCCCGGCCTCCCCGCTCGCCCGCCCAAGGCTGCGCACCTAGGCCCCGCGGCCGCCAGAGAGGTACCCACTTGTTGATCCTGCGGGCTTGCTCATGCTGGCTGTCCCGGGACGGAGCGGTTGGTGGGCGCTGCCCGAGTCCCGGCCGGCAGCGCCCGCCTCGCCGCCGGGCGCTGCCGCTCTCCAGCTGCCCTCCAGCCTGCGAGGCTCCCGGGCCGGACAGGTGGGTGTCAGTGGCTCGCTGCGATGCTCCCTGGGCGCTCAGAATTCGTTCCACAGTGGAAATTTAAGCATTCTTAAGTTTCTTCCCGGCTCTTGCAAAACTGCAGCTGCTGGGAATGCTGCTTGGTATGGACACACGCAGGGACAGATGGAGAGATGGACAGGCAGACCGAGGAAGAAGGGAGGAGGACAGCAAGAGAGGGATGTGCAAGGACAGAGATGGAGACGCGAAAATGGTCTTCCTACGGAGCGATAAGGGCAAAATCCCTCTCTTTCCCCATTCCTGTCACTTAGTCTTCAATCTCTCCCCTCTACATAGGAATGTAGAGTGTGGACAGATCTCTACAGACCGCTGGTCTTCCAAGGGAAGAGGGAAACACAACCGCAGTCTCAGAGGTAGATGGGCTCCGCGCCGCCGGAACCCGAGCGCGGAGTGGGAAACTAGATTGCTGGGAAATCCTCCGAGGGAAGAGGCGGCAAGGTCCCGGTTTCCGGGGAGAGCCGCGCATGCAGCGGCAAAGGGTCCCCGAAGTTCATTACCCCGTGACTTTGTGCCTGTGGCTGCGGGCTGGGTCCCCTGTAATATCTCCAGAAGCGCTCTGACAGGCAGCCGCGGGGAGGGGAATAGGGCGTCCCTGGCCCACTTAGCTTTTCCCCCAACTCCTGGCGGGGTCTGACGTCAGCCATGTGCGGGGAGGGGATGGGAGGAGGGAGGGGGTTAAATGCTAATGATATTAATGAACCTCCAAGCGGCTCCCAAAGAAAATGCAGGCGCTCTGGGAGCTGACGAGTTAGAAAGTGTGAATACGGGAGTGTGGCTCTGTGCGTGCGTGATGGTGAGGATGGTGCGGCTCGTAATAAAAATGAATTATTATATTTCATGGCAAAAAGGGAAGGGGAGGGCTGATGGGGCTTTCTCAAAACGCTTCACCTCCCCCACTCAACCCCCTCCGGAGTGCCAGACAGATTCGTGGAAGAAATTGGGTAGCTGGGTGTTTGTGTATGACTGTGCGCGCCGGACGTGGCCATGTGAGTTCATTCTTGGTCCCGTGCCCCTTCTGTTGGGTAAAACTTGGATCTGGCCCGAGGTGAGTAATTTATTCATTTTGCAACTATCTACGGAGAGTCTGAGCTGAGGACGCGGTGTGCGGACGTGGGGCCTGGGATGGGGTCTTCCGGAGGTTCCGCATTCCTGCGGCCTTCTCATGGTCGGCTTGGGCATCAGCCGAGGGAAGGGCGCCGCCAGCTTCTCCAAGCAGAGCCGGCCCATCCGGAGCTGGGCGAAGCTCCTGTGGTCTCCATTATTTTGCACAGGGGGCGGGAGCAAAGCTTTTCCTTCTCCGCTGCGGCTCACCGCCTGCGGCCAGCGCCTGCTCTAGCCCTCCGGGCCGCGGGATTGAGCAGAGCCGCCCCACACCCACCCATCCCGCTCGCCTTCCCGCGGTCCCGGAGCTGTCTCTGCCTTGGTCTCTGCGCCGCGCTGGGAGAGCGCATGCCGAGGGAGCGATGATCCCCAATCTCTAAGAGATTAATTCTATTTAAGCTCTCTCGGCAGCTTGAACTTGTCCAACAAGAGCTTGCCAGTCTCTCCTCCGGGCGTGGGCCCGGCCAGAGGTCAGAGGTCACACCTCGCGCCCTCCTCTGGTGCTCGGGAGGAGGGGAGCAGTGGCTCCCATTCCGCAATACTGCCCGCCCATCCCTGGGCCCCACTCTACCCAGACTCGGTGTCAACTCCAGCTTTCGATCGGAGTTTGCTTTAGTGCTGCTGTTCCCGACGCCTTGGAGGGCGCAGCAGGTCCTCTGCCCCAGCGTCCCTGGGGGAGCGGGCTGTGCGCTCGCTGGACTGCTACAGCACGTGACTGCAACTTTCCCCGGCTCGGCCCGGAGCTCGGGGTGGCTCAGAGCACGCACTAGAACCCGAGTCTCGCCTAGGGCAGCGGGGTAGGGAGGGCGGGGCACCAGGAAACAGGAGGGACTACTGTTTCTCGTCAAATTGAGGAATGGGACAAGGCCATGAATTTTAGGATGTTTTGAGGGGACGGGATGAGAAATGAACATTTTTTTGACAACAAAGTTGGCAGACACTGCGTAACCAGCCGGCGGGAGACATTGCACTGCAGCGCCCAGAGAAGGCTCTGCTTTCGGGCAGAGTTTGAGAAACACAATAAGATCCTGGG